TCTCTCTCTCTCTCTCTCTCTCTCTCTCTCTCAGTCCTAGGGAGGCAACAATGCCAAGTTGTTCAAAAATCTTGCTCGGAAAATTGCACAGACTGGTCTAGCCACTTGACAGAATCTCTCCTTCTCTCCCTCTCTCTCTCTCTCTCTCTCTCTCCCTCTCTCTCTCTCTTCCTCCCTCCTTCCCCCCTCCTTCCCCCTCCCTTCCCTCCCTCCCTCCCTCCCATGTGTACTTAATATACAACCTTTTGAATAGTAAATTTTATTAAATTACACACACATTAGTGTGTAATTTAATAAAAATTGCTATTCAAAAGGTTGTATATTAAGTTTATACATTAAAAAAAGAATTATATCTTATAACATAAAACAGTAGTTGTGTAGGCTTTGGGGTCACCCATAATCTCCACTGCCCTGATGAATTAATCAAGTCCTACTGAAGTCTAAGTGGGAGAAAGGGCAGCAGAACTTAGTACCACAGAATTATACCCATAACCATTAATAAAAATGCAGATACCTCTCTGCATGGCCACCAGATTCAACTATTAAAAATAGATACAATGTTTAAAATAATGGGAGGCTAGAACATTGGAAGGCATGTTACAACTTCAGGTGTGAACTTTATTTCACTTGACTTAGTGGAATTTGTAGAAAACAAGTGATGAGTGACTGTAGCCCAGTACTTTGAGGTAATGTTAAAATAGGAATAGTAAAGTATGCTGGTAGATTATGAGATATTTTGAGAATATTTGTATCAGTTTGTCTTCTGATAAGTATTTTTGTATGATCTTGAATATAGCAAATACCATGTATAAATAAATAAATACGTTCTGCTCTTCATGTTAATTGTTTTTTTCATAATGTATTACTGAAAGTTTAAATAAGTCCAAAATAGCTGATAACTTATTTAAAATGACTAATTAATGTGCACCAGGTAACATATTTGAAAGTAATATGAATTTCATATTTTATATACTGTTCATTGAGTCCGCTGTCACAATTCTAAAACACAGATTTGTTTCTATATCCATTGGGTTCCAGTTACGTTTTGTTTGAAATTTATATAAAT